CACACACACACACACACACACACACACACACACACACACTACAATTGCTGACAGAGAATCTTCTGAATTCAAACAACCCTGATCAACCCCTCACTATCATCTCTTTGCTGTCTGTTTACACCATTATTTTGTACATTACTTAAATGTTCTGTTAACTGTATATATATACTGTATATATGTGTCACTTAAGGCTGCAGTAAGCATGCATGCAGCCCCGATCAAACTATTTCTGTTTGGTCCTGCATGCCTTTAATATCACAGTTCCTGTTAGCTGTGTGTCCATCAAAATGACTGTCATTTCTGTTTATGTATTCCTCCGAGACTAATACTTGAGATGGGAATCTATATTTGAGGGCACTGTGGCGGATCAGGGTGAGGTTGGGGTGCAGGTGGCTGGAGGCGAGGGGAGGGGGTGTAAATATAGCTCCTGTTCTGAATCTGGGCCCCTTTGGCTTTCGTGGCCTCACAGGAAAACAAGTCTCCTCAAGAGAATAAACGTGGAGCTCATACATGTGTGAATGTGTTGTTGGAGAACAATGAGGTAAGTAAGTAATTGTACACAGTGCTATACAGTGTGTAGAGGAGTCGAGGGCCATTTTCTTCCCCAGAGTAAACTTTCCCTTTGTGTTTCTGGAGCATGCACGTAAGTTGTCCCTTTTTATCCAGAGAAAAAGAGGCAACGGTTGGGTTCATTTGCTTATTGCCTTTCAGTGGCTGATAAACTCTACACTCACTCAGTAATAGGCAGATGGAGGGAAAGTTTTATTATATGCTCGGCACAAGTTTATGACAGCGGACCTTTGTTTCCACAGGAGTGTGCGTGTGTGTGTGTGTGTGTGTGTGTGTGAGTGAGTGAGTGAGAGTGTGTGAGAGAGATTAGGTCAGAGTATTCGGTTACAAAAGCCCTCACACAAATTTGCATAAACACCAGAGAGCAAATTGGTGATTCACTTTAAAGAACTAGTCTAGACAACAGTGTGCCTTCACAGTCCAGTTTACAACTACAGGCTAAGTGTACTTGTAAGTATTGACTGGTAAAAGCATATCTACACTTCAAATATATGGAGATGTTCAGAGGAACCGTTTTTCAATTGCTCTCACTGTTACCTCTTATTGAGTTGTTTTCTTTAAAATAATTTTCCCCAAAATGACACGGAATGCAAGGCTGTAATAAAAACAACACACTTTATTTACTAGGCAGTATAGAAAAGTATAAAAACATGAAAACTTGGCGTGTATAAATGCTTTTATAAAATCATTTTTTTGCTCAAAAGCTAGTATAAAAACAAGGCGTATAAAAAGATTGTCTGCTAAGTGTTTGACGTGGGCTACTGCAGTATTAGTAAGAGAACAAAATGCTGGTTGATCAAGCATGATACAAAAATACAAAAAAAACATACAAAGAAATGTGTGAAAACAAAAACCATACAAAAGTTTCAGTTGGGATTTGTTTGTAACATTGTATAAAATATCAGTGTTTAGTACTCTCGCTTTTTATGGAGAATATAAGATTGAAGTGCAGCTTGGTCTTACTCTTACTGGGTATATAAGCTCATTTAAGATTTATATATATATATATATATATATACTTAAAGTCTTAACAAATATAATATTTGTTCATTGATAGTTTTGCCACACAGGTTACTGTGATGGCGAGAAATAAATCAAAAAGTTGAAATGAAAACTCAATTTATGTGAAATAAAGGTGCCAATGTGTTAGTCAGGTAATACTAATAAGGCTGGCCCCTTCTGTTGTGTAAAATACGATCATTCATTGTTGAATCACCATGTAAGAACGGACGCAGCTGTTCTTGTTCAGTAGTTAAGTGTTTACATGAGGGGGCACGGACCAAACACTTGAAATAAACAGTAAACACATTGTAGCCTGTTAAAAAATAAAAATAATAAAGAAACAGAAAAGTTCCATGACTGAAATAAAGAGGTCAGTTTTAAATTCATTAATATGCCTTTGGATTTATGATAATGCTAACAGGGCTTAAATACTTAACTTACAACACTGATCCATTGGCCAATTTAAAAAAACAAAACAACAACATTACCATTATGAAAACAAAGGAAATAAATTAATCAACTTGTTCTTTATATTAATATCAAAATTCGGAATTAACAATACAGCCCAACGCAAATCATATATCCACCGTTTCCCATTTATAATACAACATGGATAATAACATAATGACGAAGACCACACGTAGTAGGACGTACGATAGAACCCAGAGCAAATTCGATGCATTTCAAAAATAAAAATAAAAAACTTGTTTTAGTCTTTGGTTGGTTGAAATCCAACAAGTGTGAGTGTAAAAACACCAATGGCATAGAGCCTCTCCCAACTGTTGTACCACAACAAATATGTAACCCGCAGCGCTGCGTCCAGCGCAGGGATGGTTGATCTTTCCAGTTCAACGTGTGTCTCTGTCTACATGACCAGCGTCCTCGTAGAATAAGTGTTGATGTACTTATGGCTCTGCTCTGAGGCCAAGACGTGCTCCTCTGTTTTCCCGCAGGTCGCCTGCTCCCAGGAACTGAGCTGCTGTCGGCGAGAGAAAACAAGATGATGAGTTTTTGCTGGTTTCCATGCAATCGCTAAATGAATAGCTGGAAGCGTGCACACACACCTGTAGCGGGCTGCCCATGCCTCTGCGAGGGAGGTGGTAGTTTCTGTGTCCGTCTTGATTCAGTAATGAGCTAGAAAGTAGGTCCTGAATGACACATGTGAAAATAAATCTTAACAGAAGTTCAAAATGAAGGTTTGAGGGTATTTGTGAGTAACATGATAGCGTCACATTACATGAACTGTCAAAGGTGAGCTTACAGGTACTTCCTGTGCGGGGCCGTTTGGGGAGAAGAGCTGTGTGTGAAGGTCTTGTCCGTCCCACTGCAAACACGGGCTCCTCTCACATGGGGACTCCACCTATAGGACCCAGAACACATCATGGTTAATATCAAGAGTCGGGCAAACTTGGGAACATACGGTAGCCTGGAACAATATTTTTTTTTTTTTTTTTTTTTTTTACGGGAGTGATGAGAGCGAGAAAAATAAACACATCGAGGCCATTTACAAATGCACATGCACAAAATGTAATCAGTTACCTCAATTGAAATAAATCGTTCCCACGTTTGGCTCTCTGTTTATACACTTATCTCGTGCACACAAATAAATAAATCGTGGCTTCGATGTATTCATTTTTACTATCCATGGCCCTCTCCTGCTTCTGTTCATATGTGTGCTCGCTGATGTTCAGTATGAAGTACCTCTTGTTTTATCTTCTTCAGAGGAGGCTGCTCAATGGCACACTCCATCGGCTCCTGTTTGATGGATTTTACCATCTGTTGCTCCAGAGAGTTCTGCAAAAGGCACAAAATCCCCCAGTGAGACACAAGAACACCGAAGCAAGACCCGACAGGAGGTACCAAGACAGGTTTTTTGAAGTCTCTCTCTCACCAGTAGTTTAACAGGTCCGTACTTGGCCTCCTGCATGGCCAGAGCTGACCTGAAAGGCGTGGGTGTACAAGGGGATGACTCCAGGATCGAGCGACGAATGTTTGGATTTCTGAACCTGAGAGCGATAAAGAGAGACAACTGTACGTTAACCGTCTTTTACCACAGTTTTGTATCGTTGCATAATCAGACACATTTGAGATAGAGCCACTTACATTTCCTCCTGTTTCTGGTGCCTGATAGTGTGGTTGATCAGAGGCTTTGAGTCCACGGGTGAGCTCATTGGTAAACTGTCGTTGTCGGAGTGTTCTGGGCTCATTGACTGGTTGAGAAACTGTGATGCAAAAAGGAAGGAAACCAATCAACCAAAGTAGCTTGGCAGGTTTATTTTAGAGCAGTAACATTCTGGCAGATCACGGAGCAAACTTGCTCTGAACTACAGAAATGGCGAGGAAAGATGTGGCCGGTGCTTCAAAAGAGAAGTTGAAATGAAACAAAAAAAAGATGGAAAACGACAGCAGAGAGACCAATTCTGAATGATTGGTTGTTGATGTCATCAGGTTGGCGATTGGATGGATTCTGATCACACTTTAACTACCTGTGAGGGCGAATAGGGAAGGTTTCTGACCAAGAGCTCCCTGGTAGGGGCCTCATCCACTGAGGAGAGGCTCTAAAAGGGCGGGAAAACATGGGTCAAAGCCCACTACTTAGTAAAGTCTACGTCGCTACTTGCTAAGCTACCCTTTTTCATCTCGACACAGTTGATCATGAACAAAATGACGTCTGAACTTGTCGCCCAAGGACGAACTTGAATGCAGATACTTACTGAATCAATGACGCATTCCATGAACTCCGGCATGGTATTTGAGAACGTCGGACTGCTGTGATGGCTGTTGCTGTTGCTGTGATTGTGGCTGCCGTTATTGCTGTGGGCGCGTGCTGCAGAGGCGCTCTCCTCGGGTAGACAGCTCTGGTCCAGGGGCAGGGCCGGCGCGGCTGCCTGGTGATGAGGAAACAACATCACACCCTCAGAGCTGTTGGACAAAGAGCTCTGGCTGGCCCAGCTGGGAAAGGACAAATTCATCTGCGGGAGGAAAGGATACAAAGAGTGAGTGCTATTAGTAATACGAATAATCAAAGTATAATCGTCTGAAAACGTGAGCACAGTAGGGTGAGTGTAAAAAAACGAGTTCGAAAATGCAAGCCTGACAATAAGGGAAGAGGTGTGAAAAATTGAACCAATGAGAAAAAGAGAAGAAGAAAGGGAACTTTCTTTGCACAAGGGGTCATGCACACGCACTGAAATGGCAATGAGGTCCTATTTCATCACAAACCCCCCCAGATGTTTCCTCCGCACACGAAACACACGTATCCAAACCACCGTCCTTAAAGCCGGGGTCAAACACACACACACGCACATAAATTGTGCTGTCAACCCTTTTAACAGCTCCCCCGCACCGGGGCTTATGCAGATACACCCGCAAAACGTACCGGTAGTGATGGCCGGCCTCTCAGCTCATCTTCTGTTGACATGAGCAGCAGTTCGATCTCTTTCACCCTCTGCTCCTTCTCAGGGTCCTCCTCACTATAGTGTCTCTGAGAAAGAAAAAGTAAAATTTAGCAGCAGCTCATCTTCTCGTCTCCTGTTGCCTCACTATAGTCATCGATTTTACTCGCTGTTTCTACCTGTATAGCAGCCGTTCCATGCTGGGGAATGTTAAGGAGGTTCAACGACAAGGCCATGGGGAACGGTACCTGTAAAGCCAATCAGAAACATAAATACATAATCGGAATAATTTAGTCTTCCTGCCGGCATCCCATGTTTTGGTTGAGGAGCCCACTCACTCTGTGTGTGTCGGAGATGTAGGCGTAGTTGTGCGGCAGCTGCGCGTGACCGGGCGAGTGGTGGGGGAAACCCAGGATGTGATTGTGGGTCTTGACGTAGCCGTGGCTGATGGAGAGCGAGGAGTTGGCGTTCTTCGCCGTGATCTGCAGATAGCCCTCCTGCTCCACCTTCCGCCTCATGGTGGAGTTCCAGTGGTTCTTTATGGCGTTGTCGGTCCTGGAAGTCACGAATAGCACGTATTAGCTTAGCTTGCAGGTTAAGTCATTACGAAACACATCCGCGCGCCCGCAAGACATCCAGGACCTTGATAGCATTATCAATACAGGCACACACAGAGGCTGCCACAGATAGACACAGTCTCAGTCACACAGACACACACACACAAAACTGATAAGGTTATCAGAACGGAGCAATTACAATCATGTAAAAACTACAGTATCTTTTTTTTCCCTTGTTCCCTTCGTCTTAATCATTTGATTCTAGGCCTTTCTCTAGAAAAGGACATCCTGTCCTGACATTGTCTTTAAACCTTTTTTCCTCCCAATCATTCCGTTTTCCCGTCTTTCAAAACAACGGAAACACTTTCTGCATTCACGCCTTTATCTTCTTTCATGTTCTGTCCTCACTTCATCCCTTTTTCTCTTTTCATTCCTCCTTCAGCCTCCTCCCCTCCGTTTCACCCTCTCGACCGCAGCATTGCACAGTCAACCAACAAGTGTTCAGTGATTCATCTAGCTTCTCCTTTTTATCCCCCCCCCCTTTCTCTCTTCTACATAGTCAGCCTTACCTGCCGGGGAGCAGCTTAGCGATTTCGGCCCAGCGGTTGCCCAGCTTCTCGTGTGCCTGGTAGATAATCCGGTCCTCCTCCTCCGTCCACGACGTCTTCTTCACCTCTGGGTTCAGGTGGTTGTGCCAGCGCTCGCGGCACTGCTTGCCGATACGCCCCTTCAGGTGCTTGGCGATCACCGACCAGCGCTTGGCTCCATACTTCTGGACCAGCTCGATCACCTGGGAGTGGGTGATTGTGTGATTGTGTGTGTGTGTGTGTGTGTGTGTGTGTGTGTGTGTGTGTGTGTGTGTGTGTGTGTGTGTGTGTGTGTGTGTGTGTGTG